AAAAAAGAAAAGAAAAAAAAAAAACTAACTTGATCTCATGATTTCACTCTCTAAACCGATTCGCTAGTTCATAAAGGGGTTCATCTGCAAGTCCCGAACCATCCCCCGGAGGTCGGAAGCCTCCTCCTTGAGGAAGTCGTTCTCCTGGACGACCCTCTCGTGGGTCTCTCCGAGCCCCCTGAGCCGGTCGGCCAGGCCTCGGTTCTCGTTTTTGAGGCGTACGAGGTGGGCCCACAGCTCGTCCAGGTGCCTCTGCTTCCTCATCCTCGACCGGCGGGCCGACTCGCGGTTCGAGATCATCCTCCTCCGTTTACGCTCGTCTATCAAGTCCTCGTCCGAGGTCGAGTTGTTGCTCGGGTTCGGGTTCGGGCCTGGCCCGAAAGGTTGGTGGCTTGGGAAGTTAGTGAGTAGTTGTGGGTCGTGATTGTTAGTGTAATTGGTGATGGGGAAATTTGTGAGGAAGTTGTTTGAAGGGTCATGTGGTGTGGTGGTATTGGTCAAATAGGTGATGAGTTCTTGGGTGTTGATGTTATTAGATGGGATGATCATGGTTTGACTTTTTGTTTTTGTTTTTGTTTTTGTTTTTTTTAGGGGTTGTGTTTGATTTAATTTGATTTAGAATTGTGTTTGTAAAGGAAAAGAAATAATGTTTGTGTGTGTTTGTTTGTTTTGTGTGTGTGTGTGTGTGTTTGTGTCTTGAGATGGTAGGGTGCATTGTATGAGAGTGAGGGGGTTTTATAAGGATGAGAAATGGTTTGGCCTACTTTTATTTTTATTTTTTTTTTCTTTTTAAGTCCTTAAAATTTAGTCCATGTTTTCATATTAGAAAAATAGTGAAGTTTAATTTGAATAGAGGGTTTCATTTATGGACAAGCAATAAAATAAAGTTCGATTAATTTTACCCGTGTAGAAAGTCTTTTTACCGATAGTAAATAATCACACACACGTTTTTATTAATGAAAAACTTTTACGCGCTGGATTTTAATCACACACAAATGGTGTATTGACACGTGTTCTGCAATAAATATTATTGAACATTGTTAGTACATAAGGTAATGAAATGGAGCTATCCGACAACTCCATAAATGAGTCATTCGATAGCAACATAGAATTTATGGGGTTTATAACGACGTCCTAAAATTTTTAGTCCATGTTTTCATAAAAAAAAATAATAATAATAATTAGTAACTTTAATTTATATAAGGTTTTTTCAAATATGGACAATTGATAAAAAAGAAATACTTACACACATGCATTTTTATGTAGGGATGAAATCAACCAAAATATAATAATCTTGTGAAATAATAATAAAATCAAAGTACACTTTAATTTTCCAATCAATGTTGGTGGCGTTTTCTTAATTCGTTTGAAAAAAACTATCATAAAGCTATCTTTGTGAGAATGGAGTACAATATATTAAATTATTAATGATATTTATGTACCAAGGGATATAATTTTTTAAGATATCATAAAGCCAACTCTAGCTAGCACCACATAACAAAAGTAGGACAATTTTTTTAAGATATTTCGTGTGGATAATATTAGACGAGGAAATGTTTCAAAAAAGGTTAGCGCAGTCATGATCAATAGCTCCTATTAATTTAGCCCCTATTAGACGAGGAAAAATGTACGATTCCGTTACAGAATCATTCCGTCGGAATTTATAATCGTCAGATCAACTATTATTAATGATTACATAATGATTTAACGGTTACAATCACCGACGAAATTGTTCTATAACGAGACCGTAGCATTCTCTATAATATAAAGCGAATTCAAGAATTATTGGACCCTTATTAAAACCAATCATGAATGAGAACTGATGACGAAATCTAAGTCCATTTCTTAAAAGCTACTTATTTTAGTATAATTCTTCTAAAGACGCGAAAAATAGTATTTCCTTTTTTTAATTAAATATTTAGTTCAGGTGACGCGTGTCGCACATAACTTTGGCTACAACGGACATGAAATAAATTTATTTATGTGGCCAATATATGTTGCGTCTTAAACCTAAATTCATATTTATTTTAGTTGTATTGTATCGATTTTGCTATGAAGTCAATAGTCGACTTGAAGTCGACCTTCTATATACATAAAATAAATTATACTATATTAATAAAATTGTATTATTTAATCGATTAGATAAATTATCAATTCAATAAATTATATGCTAGTATTATAACAATTTGAAAATAGGCTAACTATTGGAAAATAGGGTCAAAGTTATATTGTCCATGAATAAATAATGTGGACATGGTAAATTCAATATGGTCCCTATAAATGGATAAAATTGAACACATCTATAGTTTCAAGTTGTTACATTCTTTTTTTTTTGGTACAAGGACCTTTCAATTTTTGAATTCACAGGGTAACCGACTAATTCAGAATCGAGCCGAGTAGGACCACAAGGGCGGCAATACTCTCCCTCAAGAGTTTTTAACACTGCTGCATTCTCAGGGCTCGAATACAAAAACAACTGATTAAGCTGGAAGAGACCCAAACCATCTCATCCAAGCGCTCTTGGGTGTTGTTACATTCTTTCATCATTCAGGTTCCCACTTTATGTTTTTGCCAAACTAATAGGTATGGAATTTAACATATATGAAATTTAATATAATTATTGGTTTGTAGCTGAAAAAATAATGACTAAACAAAATATCAAATACTAACTCAAAATTCAATAGTTAAAAAATCTATCAAAACATAAACTCTTAGGAACATTTCAATATTATAATTACTTTCGGGTGGATATTCCAATAAAAATAAATATTTCTAAGAATTTTAGTTGAAATTTGACGATTCTAACAATTATATTTAGAGTATTAATAATATTGCAAAATAATTAATATATTGTAGATTGTTCTTCTTCTTCTTCTTCATTTTTTTTTTTTTTTTTTTTTTTTTTCAATTGTCTTGTCCTTAATGGAATAAGTACGAGTTGGATAGTTTTGAGTAAATATTCAGTTAGTGATGTCTTCTCCAAATGACAATAGCTCATATTTGTTCTATATTATTCTCTGATTTTCATCATAAGCATTTCCAATTTTGGTCTAAAAATTTGGAATTTAATTTTTGGTCTTGAGTGGACGTATATTTTTTTTGAATTAAAGGCATTATTTGTTGCTTCTTGATAATTTGTATGGTCATATTTTTATGTAGGCATTATTTGTTGCTTCTTGATAATTTGTATGGTCATATTTTTATGTCTTGTTTGATAATCAGTGTTTGAAAACATGTTGAGGCTAAGTGACAGATTCACATGATTCGAGATCCTATGTGACGATATTACATGCTTCATTATTATTTGGCTTGGGTAGATTTTAATTTAATTACAATTCAAAAATAATTAAGTTCGGATGATTCATAATGATAGGATATTATTTATGGTCATGTTATTCATAATATGTTGATTATTTATGGTCATGTTACATGTATTACTTGCATTGTAATATCATTTCTTATTTTAACCATTGAATTGTAAATGTATTGTAAAAGTAAATAACTTTTATATTGTTAACACTTTACATATATAATATATCAAAGTAATCATCTCTCGACGAACTCCGATTTAACATCTATATTGTATGTATAAAAAAAATTTATATTTATCTTTATAACAGTAATAACATCATTTTTTAATTTTACTTAAAAATATAAACCTTTATTTATTAGTATACTTATGTTTCAAGTAGTTATACAATATATGTTAGAAAAATTACTACTCCCTCCTTTTCAAAATAAGTGTCGTTTTGACTTTTTTGATTCATCCATTTTGTTATGTATCTAGACATAAATATGTCTAGATACATAGTAAAATGGATGAATCAAAAAAATCAAAACGACACTTATTTTAAAAATGAGGTAGTATAATATAACATATGTAAGCACACAAGTAACAAGTGTCATTCTAAAATATATAATAATATATCTTTTTGTAAAAAAAGTAATCAAATTTTAAAAATTTAAGAATAAATTTTTCAACAAACACCCAGATAATAATACGCGGGTCATGTACTAGTTATTATGTATTTCAAGGTATATGTAGCATCATTGTCATGATGTCATTTTTTTTTTTATCTGGAATAAACAAATTGTTTATAAGAAGTCATTTAGGATTACTTTTGTGTAAAAGAATGTTGCCAAATCAAATCAGTATTAAGTAATATTCTCTTGATATCTATATCTACTATTATATTAGAATTAAAAAATACCATTGATGTGAGCTTTCGGTTGTTAGGTGATTCCCACTATGAAACATTTTAATTAGTGCAACACCGTGTATTATACGAGTACTTATAAAAAATTATTCTTAAATTTGAAAATTAATGAGAAATTTTGTTTTAAATTTTATTTATTTTTTACCAAAAATATATATTATTATATATTTTATACTAACACTAGTTACTTATGCGACTTACATGTGTTATATTGTAGTAATTTTTTTAACTCATATCATATAACTACTTGAAATATAAATATATTAATTGATAAATAATTTTATTTTTCTAACTAATATTAAAAAATAATTTATTATTGTACTAAAGATAAATATAATTTATTTTTTTATACATCAATATATATGTTAAATCGAAAATTATCAAGAGATGATTAATTTGATATGTTATTGTGTAAAACTGATAAAAAATACCATAGTTATTAACTTTCAAAATACATTATTATTCAACAGTTATAATAAGAAATGATCAAGGAAATAAATAGCTCGCTAAAGTTGCCGCTATTTGAGAAATAACTTTTTTTTGGCAGCGTGCCGCTATTTGTATTCATGTGCAATTTAGCCGCTAAATCCCGCTAAATCTCCGCTATAGCTCCGCTATAGCTACAGTGCCATAAACGTTTTAGTCCGCTATTTAAAACCTTGGAAATGATATTAAAATACAATTAATACATGTAAAATTGACATAAATAATTAATATATTTATGGATAATCCGGACCTAATTATTTTTTGTTTGGAAGTAAATTAAAATCTAAATAAGCCTAATAACAATGAAACATTTAATTTTGTCACATAGAATCTCGAAACATGCGAGCTTGCCACTTAGGCTCAGCAGATTATGAATTAATATATATGGTGATTTTAAATGCATCTTTCAAAAGCTGATGATATGATAATTATGATAATATTAATGCTACAAAACTTAATTATGAACCCTGGATTAGTACTGTATACAATTCCTCCACTATAAATTGAAGAATACGAAGAAAAGAAAAATAATAAAATAAAATATAAATAAAGTCAACGACAGGTGACAAATAGATTAAGGAAACATATCTATATAATTAAACTTGTAAATTTGCAATGATAAATAAATGAATTTTGAAAATTAAGTTTTATCGTAGCTCAATTAGTAATGGTAAATAATAGAGCTTGAATCTCAACTTAAGGAGCTCACTATTTATAAAAAGAGTTGTACTTATTGATACAAAATTTAATCTACAAATCATTGAATTATTTTGGCAAATAAATAAATAAGAGAAAATAGTTCTTTTGTTTCATAAAACAACTTTAATTCTATTTAATTTCCAGCAC